CAAGAAGATGCAATCAACCCACCCCTCTCTCTTTGTTTACTTCTGTTATTTTATCATAAAACTCCGAAGGTTTGTGGGCACAGGATTTGCCTTCCGTGAATCCGTGCGGTTGGCATTTATACTCCTGTTCCGTTCCAGGTGCTCCACCACTCTCCTCCTGATAAAACTTCTCCATAATTTTGCATACTTTTACACGTCAATGACACAGGTCTATAGTTTAGTGCCTCTTTTCTGTCTCCTTTTTTGAAAATGGGAAATAATTTGCTGTTTCCATACCTAGGTGTTGCCCAGTTTCCGGGATGTGTTTTAAGTTTTTGGTAAGTGGTAGCACAACATTCTGCCCCCCTTAAGGACCCTGGAGGTGTTGTCGGTCCCTTGCCTTGAGGGATCGGTCCTTTGCAGTGTGTGTGTGTGTGTGTGTGTGTTTTGTGTGTGTGTGTGTTTTGGGGGTTTTGTGTGTGTGTGTGTGGTGGTGTGTGTGTGTGTTGTGTGTGTGTGTGTGTGTGTGTGTGTGTGTGTGTGTGTGTGTGTGTGTGTGTGTGTGTGTGTGTGTGTGTGTGTGTGTGTGTTGTGTGTGTTGTTGTGTGTGTGTGTGTTGTGTGTTGTGTGTGTGTGTGTGTGTGTGTGTGTGTGTGTGTGTGTGTGTGTGTGTGTGTGTGTGTGTGTGTGTGTGTGTGTGTGTGTGTGGTGTGTGTGTGTGTGTGTGTGTGTGTGTGTGTGTGTGTGTGTGTGTGCGCGCTCACCTAGTTGTGGTTGCAGGGGTCGAGTCACAGCTCCTGGCCCCGCCGCTGAGGTCAGTAGTAACTGACCTCAGGTCACCGACCGCCATTTAATAACTTATATCTTCAATATTCAATAAGTTACATTGTTTTATCCTGTCTTAACCACCACCAACATTGTCTTATTTACAATTTATCGCACCTATGTGCAGATTTATTAATTTATTTATATAAGTCAGTTTCATACTTTTGTCTTTTCTTTACAGACTTCCTATACTGACAAGGGTCCCAAGGTAAGACCATGATATTCTTATTATTATTATTAGTAGTAGTAGTAGTAGTAGTAATAGCATTTTTTATTCCTGAAGCACTAAACCCACAGGGGTTATACAGCGTCTTGGGAAGGGGAGGCAATCAGGTCTGATCCTAGGAAAGGGAAACTCTAAATGCTCTGATCAAGAGCTCTGCACACACAGTATCAAGAGCTCTGCGCACACAGTATCATGAACTCTTAACACACAGTATCAAGAACTCTGCACACACAGTATCAAGAACTCTGCACACACAGTATCAAGAACTCTGCACACACAGTATCAAGAACTCTTAACACACAGTATCAAGAACTCTGCACACACAGTATCAAGAACTCTTAACACACAGTATCAAGAACTCTGCACACACAGTATCAAGAACTCTGCACACACATTATAAACAGCCTTGCACATACAGTATCAAGAGCCCTGCGCACACAGTATCAAGAATTCTGCACACAGTATCAAGAACTCTGCACACACAGTATCAAGAACTCTTAACACACAGTATCAAGAACTCTACACACACAGTATCAAGAACTCTTAACACACAGTATCAAGAACTCTGCACACACAGTATCAAGAACTCTGCACACACATTATAAACAGCCTTGCACATACAGTATCAAGAGCCCTGCGCACACAGTATCAAGAACTCTGCACACACAGTATCAAGAACTCTTAACATACAGTATCAAGAACTCTACACACACAGTATCAAGAACTCTTAACACACAGTATCAAGAACTCTACACACACAGTATCAAGAATTCTGCGCACACAGTATCAGGAGCTCTGCACACACATTATCAACAGCCCTGCACACACAGTATCAAGAACTCTGCACACACATTATCAACAGCCCTGCACACACAGTATCAAGAACTCTGCACACACAGTATCAAGAACTCTGCACACACAGTATCAAGAGCTCTGCACACACACAATATCAAGAGTCCTGGGTACACACAATATCAAGAGCACTGCACACAATATCTATATATATAATATATATATATATAAATATATATATATATATATATTATATATATATATATATATATATATATATATATATATATATAATTAATGTGGTAGAGGTACAAAGTACCGTTATGATGAACAACTGTGAGGTAGGGAGACAGTCTCCATATCTCACAAGGTCTCACTTCATTAACTTGACAAAAGTTCTTGCGTGAGACAGTTCACTGTTACAGTGTTCCACACAACCTTTGTGCCTTATTGTACAAATAGTCAATTAAGTACCACAATGACACAACCGGTATATAATGTCTTGTTTACATACAATCAGTAAATTCTCCTACTGCATTACCTTATTGTCCAAGTTTATTATGTAATAATTGTATATGGTGATGTAAGAGTGTTGACAGTGATGTCTTGTTACAGCCAGACTCCGGCAAGTTCCTACACTTCGACTACATCACCTTCTGGGTGGGCAACGCTAAGCAGGTACTGTCCTCAGTCATCTTCCTTGCTTGGTTAATACACTTTAAGGCCTCTACTACCCTAGGGGTAGACCTGCATGTAAACTGTTCACTGCCAGACAAGAATACTTTGAAAATAGCATTAAAGCAAACTCTTGAGTACATGTATGCTGAAAGAAATACACCTCTCTGTATATATCTTGAGATTATTATTATAATCAAGGGGGAAGCACTAAACCCGGAGGATTATACACCGCCTGGGGGGGATGTGGAAGGCATTCAGGCTTAATTTGGGAAACTGGAGCACAGATCCAATTCCCTAAATCAAGAGCCCCTCACCAACATCAAGGAACCTTACTTGAGGGGATATATCTTGAGAAATCTTCCTTTAAACTCATTCAGCAAGCAAGCTACTTTTGTCTTTTCTTCCTTGTAAGTGAAGTCATACTTACAACAACTATTTTTCGAAATGTTTTGAATCTTTTTGTTTCTCTAAAAAAATTAAATTTCGTCTCCATGGTGTTGTTCGCACGTTAGCAATGTTCTAGAATTAATGTCTTTAATTTAGAACACTGCGGCAGAAAAACGGGACACGGAAAAGTTCCTACAAAAAGAACAAATAATAATAATAATAATATAATAATAATAATCTTTATTTTTACAAGTACAAGGTATACACGCCTTGCTGACACTAATGACGTACTACTATATAGAAAGTCCTTTGTTATGCAGAGCATTTCTGGCAAATTAGTTCGGTTTTGTCCCCAGGATGCAACCCACACCAGTCGACTAACACCCGGGTACCTATTTTACTGATGGGTGAACATGGACATCAGGTGTCTTAAGGAAACACGTTCTACTGTTTCAATCCATACCGGGAATCGACCCCCGGACCTCAGTGTGTGAAGCAAGAGCCTTGCCTACCAGGCCACGGGACAATACTAATATAAATTCTGAAATTACAACATTACATGATGAAATTAGCAAAAGACATGACACTATAGAGTAGATGAGGCTGAAGGCTGCTGACATTAATGTAACTTAATATTCAGGAGTAATACGTGATATTAGCCAAGATTAACTTTGCTTTGACTTCATTAAACATTAAGGACCTCTACTCTGTTGAACTCAAGATCACAGGAGAGCTTTATCAAGTCGTAGCTTAATAAAGCTCTTGAAAAGCTTGATTACTAAAAGCTTGTCCTGAGACACGTGTCTTTGTCTTCCTCAGAAATAATAAGCCAGGTATGATATTGTGAGTCAAAGGTTTACACTTGGAGGAGCAGATTGATTACTGAAGGACCTAACACTGCGCCTTATATGATCATTGTGTGATAATATACACGGATAAATACATAGCAACACACGAGGCTTTAAAATGAATGTTGTGCTTCGTAAGAAAGAGTAGTAATACAGGCATTACCAACAATGGTAGACAGCGCCACTGAGTGAGTGGTGATGACACTACCAACAATGGTAGACAGCCCCACTGAGTGAGTGGTGATGACACTACCAACAATGGTAGACAGCCCCACTGAGTGAGTGGTGATGACACTACCAACAATGGTAGACAGCGCCACTGAGTGAGTGGTGATGACACTACCAACAATGGTAGACAGCCCCACTGGGAGAGTGGTGATGACACTACCAACAGTGGTAGACAGCGCCACTGAGAGAGTGGTGATGACACTACCAACAGTGGTAGACAGCCCCACTGGGAGAGTGGTGATGACACTACCAACAATGGTAGACAGCCCCACTGGGAGAGTGGTGATGACACTACCAACAGTGGTAGACAGCGCCACTGGGAGAGTGGTGATGACACTACCAACAGTGGTAGACAGCCCCACTGGGAGAGTGGTGATGACACTACCAACAATGGTAGACAGCCCCACTGGGAGAGTGGTGATGACCTACCAACAGTGGTAGACAGCCCCACTGGGAGAGTGGTGATGACACTACCAACAGTGGTAGACAGCCCCACTGGGAGAGTGGTGATGACACTACCAACAGTGGTAGACAGCGCCACTGGGAGAGTGGTGATGACACTACCAACAGTGGTAGACAGCCCCACTGGGAGAGTGGTGATGACACTACCAACAGTGGTAGACAGCCCCACTGGGAGAGTGGTGATGACACTACCAACAGTGGTAGACAGCCCCACTGGGAGAGTGGTGATGACACTACCAACAGTGGTAGACAGCGCCACTGGGAGAGTGGTGATGACACTACCAACAGTGGTAGACAGCCCCACTGGGAGAGTGGTGATGACACTACCAACAGTGGTAGACAGCGCCACTGGGAGAGTGGTGATGACACTACCAACAGTGGTAGACAGCCCCACTGGGAGAGTGGTGATGACACTACCAACAATGGTAGACAGCCCCACTGGGAGAGTGGTGATGACACTACCAACAGTGGTAGACAGCCCCACAAACACACGCCTGCCCCCTGGGTGAAATACACACGCCTGCCCCCTGGGTGACATACACACGCCTGGCGCCTGGGTGACATACACACGCCTGCCCCCTGGGTAACATACACACGCTTGCCGCCTTTGTGACATGCACACGCCTGCCGCCTGGGTAACACACACGTCTGCCGCCTGGGTGACATACACACGCCTGCCGCCTGGGTAACATACACACGCCTGCCGCCTGGGTAACACACACGTCTGCCGCCTGGGTGACATACACACGCCTGCCGCATGGGTAACATACACACGCCTGCCGCCTGGGTAACATACACACGCCTGCCGCCTGGGTGACATACACACGCCTGCCGCCTGGGTGACATACACACGCCTGCCGCCTGGGTGACATACACACGCCTGGCGCCTGGGTGACATACACACGCTGCCGCCTGGGTGACATACATACGCCTGCCGCCTGGGTAACATACACACGCCTGCCGCCTGGGTAACATACACACGCCTGCCGCCTGGGTAACATACACACGCCTGCCGCCTGGGTAACATACACACACCTGCCCCCTGGGTAACATACACACACCTGCCGCCTGGGTAACATACACACACCTGCCGCCTGGGTAACATACACACACCTGCCCCCTGGGTAACATACACACACTTGCCCCCTGGGTAACATACACACACTTGCCACCTGGGTAACATACACACACCTGCCGCCTGGGTAACATACACACACCTGCCGCCTGGGTAACATACACACACCTGCCCCCTGGGTAACATACACACACTTGCCGCCTGGGTAACATACACACACCTGCCGCCTGGGTAACATACACACACCTGCCGCCTGGGTAACATACACACACACCTGCCGCCTGGTAACATACACACACCTGCCGCCTGGGTAACATACACACACCTGCCCCCTGGTAACATACACACACCTGCCGCCTGGTAACATACACACACCTGCCGCCTGGGTAACATACACACACATGCCGCCTGGGTAACATACACACACCTGCCGCCTGGGTAACATACACACACCTGCCGCCTGGGTAACATACACACACCTGCCGCCTGGGTAACATACACACACCTGCCCCCTGGGTAACATACACACACTTGCCGCCTGGGTAACATACACACACCTGCCGCCTGGTAACATACACACACCTGCCGCCTGGGTAACATACACACACCTGCCCCCTGGGTAACATACACACACCTGCCGCCTGGGTAACATACACACACCTGCCGCCTGGATAACATACCACACCTGCCGCCTGGGTAACATACACACACCTGCCGCCTGGGTAACATACACACACTTGCCGCCTGGGTAACATACACACACCTGCCGCCTGGGTAACATACACACACCTGCCGCCTGGGTAACATACACACACCTGCCGCCTGGGTAACATACACACACCTGCCGCCTGGGTAACATACACACACCTGCCGCCTGGGTAACATACACACACCTGCCTCCTGGGTAACATACACACACTTGCCGCCTGGGTAACATACACACACCTGCCGCCTGGGTAACATACACACACCTGCCGCCTGGGTAACATACACACACCTGCCGCCTGGGTAACATACACACACTTGCTGCCTGGGTAACATACACACACCTGCCGCCTGGGTAACATACACACACCTGCCGCCTGGGTAACATACACACACCTGCCGCCTGGGTAACATACACACACTTGCCGCCTGGGTAACATACACACACCTGCCGCCTGGGTAACATACACACACCTGCCGCCTGGGTAACATACACACACCTGCCGCCTGGGTAACATACACACACCTGCCGCCTGGGTAACATACACACACCTGCCGCCTGGGTAACATACACACACTTGCCGCCTGGGTAACATACACACACTAGCCGCCTGGGTAACATACACACACCTGCCGCCTGGGAAACATACACACACCTGCCGCCTGGGTAACATACACACACCTGCCCCCTGGGCGACATTCCTCATGCCTGGGTAACATTAAACTAGTACTGTAGCTGGCTGTGGTTGACATAGAAGCTGTGGCGACACTGTAAGAGGCTGGTGTAGCATATACAAGTACACAGGTGTTGTTGTATGCCAGGACACCTCTCACCTCCCTTAACCTTCATACATATATACAAACTGACATATTGTTAAGTGAACGTGTGTCCTGGGTGAGTAATATGGTGGGCGGCGGTGGCGACGGCTGCAGCACGGCGGTGGCGACGGCTGCGGCACGGCGGTAGCGACGGCTGCGGCACGGCTGCTACACCAAACGTGGTTGTTTATAAGGGAAGTAGAAGTTAGTCGGTACACCTTTATCTAACTCCGTTATTGTAACACCATTCTTCTACTGAAAATTTACTGTGTACTCACCTATATGTGCGTGTGCGTGCGTGTGCTTGAGTACGTGTGCGTGTGTGCGTGCGTATGCGTGTGTGTGTGCGTGCGTATGCGTGCGTGTTTGCGTGTGTGCGTGCTCGCATGGCATGATCAGTGGAGAGTCTAAGACTGTATTCCTGAATGTATCACGTACAACTGTATGAAGTTATTGTATGACATATGACAAGACCT